CATTTACTAGCTGTGTGACCCTGGGCAAGGCACTTGCCTCAGTTCCTCATCTGTAAAATGGGCTAGAGAAGGAAATGGCAAACCACTCCAATATCTTTGCCAAGAAAACCCCAAATGTGGTCACAAAGAGTTGGACATGACTGAAAAAACAACTGAGCAATGACAAACATCTAGAAAAGAAAGCAGTAGTAAAGAATGTACATAGGTCATCAAGATCATTCCATACAGACATTGTTTTCTTTTTTGACAGCATTACTAAACTGGTAGATGAAGGTTACAGAAAAAATATCATTAGCCCTAGAAAAATCTGTTTTTCAGAAGGGTGCTGCAACTATGCCAATTCCAGTTGCAGATCAACTAGCTCCAGCTCAGTACATCTGGTACACACCATCAACATTAACAAGAATCTTTGGGACTCCATTTGATATTTTTGCATTTCTGCCATCCGAATAACTCTTTGTTTAGCTCCAGAGTTGAAAGCCACTCCTTCCTAAGACAGATGTGAGCTAGAACAGTAGCGCTGAACTCAAATATAAACTGGGGCTGTTAAACTGTACGTAAACATCTGTAGAGGCCACATATTAACTTTAAAAACCATATATTAATGTTTTGTTGTATTTTTGTTTATTTTTAAAAAATATTTCCCAACTACATTTTAAATTATAATAATGAGGTTGATGATGGTAATGATGTGTGCTAGGCTGGCCTCACTCAGAATTTTTGTGGGTTGCATGTGTCGACACCTCTGGGCTAGACAATAGTACAGTTTGGTGAATTTGGAACTGGTGAAGTGGACAAATGGAAAGAATTGTCATTAATAGTTCAATGTCAATCTGGAAGGCTATCTTCAGGAATCTGGGGCTGGCCCTATGCTATTTATTTTTATCCGTGACTTGGAGAAGTGATTTATGTTATCAGATTGGTTAATAACAAAACGTTGGGAGGGATATTTAACAACATCTTGACTGGCTTGAATATCAGGCTGAATCTAATAAGATCAAATCTAATAGTGGTAAACATAAAGTCTTAAACTTGGCTTCAAAAAATCAACTTCAGAAGTTCAGGACAGGGGGAAGAGCCAGAGGTTTTAAAAGACTAAAGGCTCACTTTTAGTCAGCAGTATAGTTTTGCAACCCCAAAAGTTAACGTGATTTTAGACTGTATTAAGAAAGGGATAGCTTTAAGAAATAAAGGCAAGACAATCCAGTTTTCCTCTGTTTTAGTCAGTTAGTAAATAAGCATTTAATTAAGCACCCAGTATATAAGGTAAGTCCAGAGGACACTAAGAACTTTGTAGCAGAAAGATATCCAATGATCCAATACTACTTGTGAAGTAGTAAACTTCTGGACAAGGGAAGTGTTCAGCATGAGACTGGATGAACATTTGTCTTGGATGCAGCAAAGGGATTCAGGTACCATTAAGGGATTCAACTAGATTATCTCTAAAAACCAAAACTGTGATTCTAGATGATGTTTCTTGGTTCACTGGTTTTACACGTTGAGAGGCAGAGCAGATGGGAGTTTTAAAAAACCTTCTACTGGGTTATAAGTTCCAGGGGTGACTAAAAGCAAATAATGAGAAATAATTCATTTGTACAGTGCTTTAAAGTTTGCAAAGTACTTTTCACAAGGAGAGAGTTTATCAAGAGAGTCTTTATTGCCAGGGTGAGCCTTTAATTGTGACTTTGATTAAGTCTACTAGATGAGATACAAATGATTCAAAGTAACCCAGGCCAGAGTCCTGGCCTCTCTCCACTCCCAACACTCAGAGCAATCTCTACTGGAAAATAATACAAGTATTATTATCTGCCTTTGATAAGTAAGGAAACTAAGAATTGAAAAAAATTAAGTGACTTGCTCTGGGTCACACTGAAATAAAATCAAATCCAACTCCACTGACTTAAAATCCTGCTGTTGTTCAGTCGTGTCCAAGTTTTCATGACCCCATTTGGGGTTTTCTTTCTTTCTTTTTTTTTTTTTTGGCAATTGGGGTTAAGTGACTTGCCCAGGGTTACACAGCTAGTAAGTGTCAAGCCTGAGGCCAGATTCGAATTCAGGTACTCCTGACTTCAGGGCTGTGCTGTTTCCACTCTACCACCTAGCTGCCCCTATTTGGGGTTTTCTTGACAAAAATACTGGAATGGTTAGCCTTCTCCAGCTCATTTTACAGATGAGGAAACTGAGACAAACAGGAAGAAGTGACTTGTCCAGGGTCACACAGCTAGTGTTTGAGGCCAGATTTGAACTCAGGAAGATGAGTCTCCTGGACTTCAGGCCTGGCACTCTATCCACTTCACAATGTAGCTACCCTAATTTAAAATCCTACATAACATATCATGTCAATAGAAAACTTTATTACCTACTCAAGTTAAGCTAATAAATTATGCTAATAAAAAATGTAAAAACATAGACTGTCTATATTTTACAACAGTAGAATAGGATGAATTTCATGAGGGTCTCTAGCCATGTTCACTTAGCTCCCTGTTCAAGTCCCTGTTCTACCTCCTTACCAGCAGCCTAGCCCTGGCACAGCACCCTCCTCTTCCTTCTCTTCCCCCTCCCCCACACTTTCCAGTACTCCTTTGTGTTTTGTTCTCCATTGTTAGAATGTAAGGTCCTAGAGAGTAGGGACCATCTTGTTTTCTTATATTTGTATTCCTAGCACTTAGCTCAGTAACTGACATATAGTTTTAGCCCTTAATAAATGCTTTATCTATCTATTTATCTATCTACAATCCTCCACAAGAGTCCTAACCCTGTTGTTTCATCATATATGGAGAGGGCTCTGGGTTCTTAAAATTAATAGTAGTGGAATACAAGCTCTGTCAGGTTTTAACTATGCCAGAGAGGCTTAGAGTACTGTATATAGTCTCCCTAAAAGACTGAGTGGGTTATATCTCTGGACCAATTTATCTAAATATGGAAAAGCGACAACAAAAAAACAGTAAGAATAGCCTACATTTATGTAATGTTTTAAAGATTTCAAATGATCTTGCTTAAATTATCTCATTTGATTCTCAAAACAACTTCGTGAGGTAAGTGATCTTATTATCCCCAATTTACCCATAAGAAAAATGAAGCTGAAAATGGTTAGGTGCTGTGCAAATTCTCAGCTAGTGTAATAGGAGGGGCAGTGGATAAAACGCCAGGCCCAGAGTTAGGAAGACTCATCTTTCTGAGTTCATATCTGGCCTCCGACACTAGCTGTGTGACTCTGGGCAAGTCTCTTCACCCTGTTTGCTTCAGTTTCCTCATCTGTAAAATGAGCTGGAGCACAAAATGGCAAACCACTCCAGTATCTTTGCAAACAAAACCCCAAATGCAGTCATGAAAAGTCAAACATGACTGAAAACAGCTGAACAAAAATTCCCAAATGTAATCCAGCCAGCTCTCTGTCTCATTTAATTATGAACAAAACTCATGGTCTATCTACAGCATCCTTCTAAGATACATGATAGAATAACCCAATGGGCTGTCCATCCAACTGCATATAATAATCTGGAAAGTTAATCCACTTAGTCCAGTATTCCTTTCCTGATGCTCTGAGCTAGAATTGATCTTCTAAACCAGGGGTTCTTCAACCTTTTTTGCGTCATGGATCCTTTTAGCAGCCTGATGAAACCTATGGATCCCTTCTCAGAATGTTTTTAAATGCATAAAACAAAATATGGAGGATTACAAAGAAAACTAATATATATATATATATATCACGTTATATATGACATATAATTATATTGAAAAAATAATAATACTGAGAAAGTTATAAAAATATATGCTTATTTAAAACAAGCTCAGAGACCCCTAATTAGGAATCCTACTGTAAACATCAGTTTGAATTGCTCCTCACCTATCTCACTTTCTTCCTCAGTCCTACAAAAGGCACTTTAAGAAAGCATCAATTTAGAGCTGTAATTTACATATGATTGTTAGATTTTAGTTTGGAGAATTCGCCGTGTTCCAAGATGGCAAATAGAGGACTGTGTCCTAATTGTAGTCACAGCCCTTCACTAACTCCAGTGAAATATAAAACCACAATTGGAAACAGGAGGCCCTGAAATAGAGGAGCCACTCTCCCCACGGCCAGCATATCTGGCAATCCTAATGCTAGCAAGTCTACTCGCCAAATCACTGAATTCTTTAAGCTGCAGGAACTGGGGTCCAGAACAGCTGTTTCTACACTTAATTTGAAAATATGTCAGAAAATAGTGCTTTCACCGTCAGCACGGCAGATTCTTTGACATCTGCAAGCATTCAATACAAGCTGATTGGCCCTGCCTCCACTTGATTTGTAAAAAAAAAAAAAGAAAGAAAGAAAATTAAAATAAATTGTGAATTCTTTGGAAGGAGCGAGTAAAGGCTAAGTGATAGTATTTCTGTAAATTGCATCAAGGGCCTTCCTAATGTTTGCAATGAAAAAGAAAGCCTTTCCCTTGGTCTGGGTGCAGTGGCGTGGGGGAGGACAAAGGAGGATTTTAATTAACTGCTTTAACAGTCTACGAAAGAAGACATTTGCAAAAGGATAGGGTGGGAGGACGGAGAGTATGGCCAGAAGCTCCTTTCCTGGGCCAGACAGAGCAGGTCGTGAAGGCCGGTTTCTTTGCACACGGATCTAGCGTTAAAGGAAGCCGAGAGCTCCTCCTCCTCCATTCTAGCAGCCGGGCACAAAGAGCGGGAAAGGCCCCAGTCCCGAAGGACTATGGGGGAGAGGGGAAAAGGAGAAGGAAGAAGACCGAGGATGGCAGGGGTGCTCCCGCGCAGGGGCACAGAGAGGGGCGGCGGCGCGCGCTCCCGCGGCCAGAGCGGCGCCTTCCGCCCCACCCCCACTTCTCCTCCCAGCTCGTCTCGCTCTCAGTTTCCCTCAGTGCCCACGCCCGGCCCCTCCCCCTCACGTCCGTCTTCCCACCAGCCGCCGGCGGCGCGCGGAAAGTGCGTCACGTGACGGCCGGCCCCGCCTCTTCCTCTCGGTCCCATATTGAACCCGAGTTGGAGGCGGCGAGTCCGGTCTCAAAATGGAGGTAAAACAGCCGCCCGGCCGCCCCCAGCCCGACTCCGGCCGCCGTCGCCGCCGCCGGGGGGAGGAGGTATTAGGGGGAGAGTGGGGGGTTGCTGGGCTGTGGCCGGCGCGGGTGCCCGGGCTTTGGCGGGGGGAGTACAGAGGGGGCTCGGTCGGTCGGTCCCGCGCTCTGCGCTGGGCGGTGGGGGGGAGGGGAAGGGAGCGGGCCGCGGTGGAGCCACCGGGCCCTCGGCCACCGCCGCCACCTCCTCGGCCTCCTCCTTCTCCCCCCAGTCTCCTGAGCCGCCTCCCGCCTCCCTCCGCCTCGAAGGCTGCCCCGCAAAGCCGCGGCTCGGTGGGGGCGCCATCCGGGGGCGGAGCGGGCCTGGCCGCGATGGCTCCTGATTTTAGGCGGAGTGCGGCATGGCAGGCGGGCGGGAGGGAGGGAGAGAGCGAGCGAGCGAGCGGTTGGGAAGAGATGGTGGGGGAGGGGAGAGCCGAGCCGAGCGGGGCTGGGGAAGGAGGGAAGGAGAGGAGGGGGCGGGCAACCACATCCGGGAGAGCGGGCGGGCGGCGGCCGCCGCCACATTGACATTGATCCTCAGCTCTATGAAATGGCGCATTGGCCCGCAATGGCCGCCGCCGCCGCTTCGCTGCTGCTGCTGCCTAGCGAGAGCGCGGGATTGGGCTGGGGGGCGGGGAGGCGCTGGCGGGAACGGCAAGATGGAGGGGGAAGGGAGGAGGGAGACGAGGCGGCGAGGGGAGGCGCTGCTGCAAAGAATCTAAACGCTTGCTGCTTTTTGCAATCACAGCGTCTCTGCCACCACGTTTCTAGGCCTGAAAGAACCATTCTTCAGCCGCTGGGAGAGTACTTCAGTCTGCTCCCTGCTCCTTTCTCCTCCGAGGGGTGGTGTTCTTTAGATGTCCGGGCAGGGACTTTTGAAACCTTTTTATTTTATTTCCTCCTTAAGTTTACCCATAAAGTATTTTTCATGACCCCAAAAGTAATGGCAGTGTGACTAATACCTATTCACTAGCTACTTTTGTAGGTGAACGAAACTTTCCCTTCCATAACTTAAAAGTGAGATGGGAGAACTTAAGAAGATGGATCATGATGTCTGCAAGGAAAGTGTGACGTGTCAGAAACCCTTGTTAAATCTCCCACAGCCAGTTTTTTAAGGATTTTTGTTAACACGATTCCTTTATAAAGTAGACTTCCCTTCCCCTCAGTAAACTATATGTAACTGAAATTGAGAGGATAGGCTACATTAAACTAAAATCGAAAGTTGTTAGTCGTTTTATGTTTCCAAGGCTTTGAATCAAATGATTTTAAGGTCCTGAGTCTAAAAGCATATTGAATATTATGCAATCATGAAAGCTTTTGAATTTTAAGCTCTTTATTGATCTTTAAAGTTAAGATTATATGGATTTTCTTACAATAATGGCAATTTTGTCCTAAAATTTTGTATGTTTTAGTTAATGATAAATTATTAGGGTGTAGATTTGGCCATCTTCATTAGGAGATAATCAAAACTTATTTATTTAGCTTGTGGATTTGGGAAGTGATTTTTAAAACAGTATTGTGGCATGTTTTTTGTACCATCATGCAATGCCAATTTGGAACTTAAATTATAGTACATCAATTAATTGAAATGTGTATCTGGAGAAATATTTAACAGGATGTAAAGTGTTTAACCTTGTAATGAAAGATTGAAAAAAAATTACTTTTAAGGATCATTCTAATTTCCTGAAAGTGTACAGAATTTAAAAAGTAGAATTGGGAAAGTTTATAAGTACAAAGTCAGATTCATAATGCTCTCCAAAACTTCATTAATCTTAGAATTGTTATATAAAATATACTCTTCAGATTTCAATAGTGTGAAATTTTCTTGAAGCAGTAGAATCTGGGAGAAAGTAGTCTAATTTCTCCACAAGTGCTGCTGACTCCATTACCCACAAAGAGAATGATGTGAGGGCAAGGGCTTGCTCTACTAGCTTTCTGGGATAATTTTCTGTACTTTGCCTAGTAGCAAATATTTCTAGACAGTTGTTATGTAAATGGAAGTCTATGGTTATATCTTCATTTTTCCCTGGAGCTTGTTTTCCTGGTCCAAAATGTGATTTCAAATGAAGAATTCTGATAATTCTAGGCTAACATTTGAAAGGCAGGCTCTAAGTTTCCTGTAAGTCACATAGTATCTTTCAGATAGAACTTTAGCATCCATTTTTATTCAGTTCTCACCTAACAAAATAAATCACGTGGAAAGGCTGCAGAAGTTTTTGTTTCCTAGTGTGTAGTTATACTGCATTAACTACTGAAAGAAATAACTAGCTTATTTTGCTACTTCTATTTCACTCAGTAGAAGGGTAGTAATAATTCCTTTAAAAATCTGGTATCCAAAAAATTTGATGAGGATAAGTGAGAATTATGAACTGCTAAGTTTGTTTATTTTTCTAAGGGTCATGATCCAAAGGAACCAGAGCAGTTGAGAAAACTGTTTATTGGTGGCTTGAGCTTTGAAACTACGGATGATAGTTTAAGAGAACACTTTGAAAAATGGGGCACTCTCACGGATTGTGTGGTAAGTTGTTGAAATCTAAACAAAGATACTTAAGATTGTAAAAAAAAAAAAAAAATGACTTACATAGCCTAGGGCAACAAACTGTAACATGTAAAATGTGTTTTATAGGTGATGAGAGATCCTCAAACAAAACGTTCCAGAGGCTTTGGCTTCGTGACTTATTCTTGCGTAGAAGAGGTAGATGCAGCAATGTGTGCTCGGCCACATAAGGTTGATGGGCGTGTAGTGGAACCAAAGAGAGCTGTTTCTAGAGAGGTATGCCAATGATTAACATGTTGTCTACCTAACGTGAAACTGTTGCAGAAAATTGCATTTTTACCTTTTATTTTTTTAATAGGATTCTGTAAAACCTGGTGCACATCTAACCGTGAAGAAAATTTTTGTTGGTGGTATTAAAGAAGATACAGAAGAATACAATTTAAGAGACTACTTTGAAAAGTATGGCAAGATCGAAACTATAGAAGTTATGGAAGATCGACAGAGCGGAAAGAAGAGAGGATTTGCTTTTGTAACTTTTGATGATCATGATACAGTTGACAAAATTGTTGGTATGTAACAAATTCATGATCAGGAATGAGCAGAAAGAAACATTCTAGCTTGAGTTCTGATCTGGATTTGATAAAATTGTAATGCCATATTCATATAATTGAAAGTACATACTTTCAATGTACAATAACTTCAATTTATAGCTTATTTAAACTTGTCTTTTCCCAAGACAGAATTGTCAGTTTTTCTTACTAACTTAAAACTTTGTTCTCTTTAGTTCAGAAATATCATACTATTAATGGGCATAACTGTGAAGTGAAAAAGGCCCTTTCAAAGCAAGAGATGCAGTCTGCTGGCTCACAAAGAGGTGAGCTGGAGATAAGTATATGTATGCATAGAAGATTTGCAAATACATCTAGACTTGCATTTTTGACCCATCTAAATTATTTTAAGGTCGCGGAGGTGGCTCAGGCAATTTTATGGGTCGAGGAGGAAACTTTGGAGGTGGTGGAGGAAACTTTGGCCGTGGAGGAAACTTCGGTGGAAGAGGTAAAAATGATTTTGAATCTATTTGTAAATATACTTGCCTGATTTTTATAATGTCTGGACTATATACATTTTTGTATTATCTTGCTTTTTTCCTAGGTGGTTATGGTGGTGGTGGTGGTGGTGGTGGTGGTGGCAGCAGAGGCAGTTATGGAGGTGGAGATGGTGGATATAATGGATTTGGTGGAGATGGTAAGGTTTTTAAACCTTTTTCCCATGTTTTTATGTTTCAGTTTTTTGCTGTGTTCTTTCCATTGGAGAATGTGTTTAGCTTTTTTTATTCTTGTATAATTTCAATGGTGTGGTTTAGAACATTAAGTCCAGACCTTCCATTTTGCAGCTGAAATGTTGTAACATAAGTCTTTAGGGTTACAGATGGGTTTACTAACTACTCTTTTAGATGTTATTCATAGGATCATATTTAGAATTGGAAAGGGATCTTCCAATATACTATTTACATATACATGTTACTGTTAAGATCAAGCCTTGTACAACTATATGATTTTGACCAGACATATTTATACTATCACTAACTAGTGCCATTTAAAAACCATTAATTAGTTCAAATGTATAGGTAACATTAATAAATAATAGCTTTTTCTTGTATTCTGAGATTTTACCACCCCTCTGACTTCTGAAGACATTAGTGTGCTAACAGTTTTTGTCTGTGTCTCCTTTGGGTCTTTACTAATATTACTGTTCCAGTTCATTCGATTGTATGGCTGTTGTTTTTAAATTATTTTTGTTTTTTAATGAAAAATGATCAGATTAAAGTAACCCACTTACCAACTAGTTTAAGCATAAGAGTACATTTAAGCAATTTAATGACATGAATTATGCCGATTCCGCTCATATTTTTAAAACAAGGACAGATACTGCTAAGTTTTGGAGTACATATCAGACTAATAAGATAAAATTATTGGGAGGTTGGATTGCAGTATGATAGTTTTATTGTAATGTGCTTTTTAGGTATGAAAATTTAGCATACATTAAATATTTATGTTTTAAGATAGATACTTGTTACTTAGCCCTTATAGAATTAACAGTTGTTAAAGTTCCTTGGATTGTAAAGACTTGGCAGTGTAGATCATGCGTTCCTTTATGCATTTACATCTGTGCTTCATGTTTTTGCTTTATTCACTTTTTTTTAGGTGGCAACTATGGAGGTGGTCCTGGCTACAGTAGTAGAGGGGGTTATGGTGGTGGTGGTGGACCTGGATATGGAAACCAAGGTGGTGGATATGGTGGTGGTGGAGGATATGATGGTTACAATGAAGGAGGAAATTTTGGTGGTGGTAAGTGATGCACATTTCTTATTTCACTTATTTGGGTAGATTTGAGTGTATTTAGAAACATGTATAGTTCCAGTATTGTGGGTGCTGTGTTGAACAGTATCTAATTAGCATGCAATTAAACATTTTTAGGGTATGTTCAACCTTAGGAAGGCTTTTAATGTTCCTAGGTTAGTAAAAATTTAATATGAATTGATGCTAAATTGAAAGTTGTCCTTTACTTCTGTATGAGTTTTTTTCCTTTAGTAATGGTTGTTTGCCACAATTTTAGCTACAATTATGAAATACCACTGTTTTGACTTTAGGTTGTTTTTTTTTTTAACTTGATTGGGGTTAATGTTCATGTCAGTGGATCTAAATGGTAAAGGGGAAGACTTAAAAACCCTAGGTAAGATAATAGCAAATAACCAAGGACTTTGATAGTACTTGGGGGTGGATATGTAAAAAAATTCTTCAAAAATCGAGATTTTGTTGCCCATGTTAATGTAATCTTGAACATAATTTAGGTGTATAATTGTATTTGTGTGAGTTTATTCCATTTTATTACAGTTACAGTACCTGCATGAGCCTGACAGTCAACAGCATTTGAGCGCCTTCTGTGTGCAGTGCTGTATCAATGAGTTTAGAAGTTTGGCTGAGTAAGAAATAATAGCAAATCAAACAGTTGCATTAACTTTTAGGGTATTCACTTTCTGCCTAGACAATAGAAAACAGGGATAGGCAAGTTCTACCAAAGTACAGGATTCTACTAAATGGTTTCTGAGTCTTGTATATATCTTGTTCATATATCACCTTGATTCTTGCCTCTTTTATTGTTTTGACATTTCTCCTCTTGCCCCATCCCTTTCCTGTTTCCCTACCAATGCCTTAGGCCTGTCAGTTGGCATCCATGGGTATTGCATATTCCCATTAGTGAGAGATTTAAAGGGTTGCTAGCATCTATGGAGAATATTGCTATGATTGATAGGAGAACATATGCATACAGTAGTTTTACAGGGGAAATGTCATGTTTGTGTTGTACAGTAGAAAAATGACTCAATCTTTATAATTTCAGGTAACTATGGTGGCAGTGGGAACTATAATGATTTTGGAAATTATAGTGGGCAGCAGCAATCAAATTATGGACCCATGAAAGGAGGCAGTTTTGGTGGAAGGAGCTCGGGCAGTCCTTATGGTGGTAAATATTATTATTTTCTTCCTTAAGTTTTGAGATTTTGATAATAAAGACAAATTGACAAATATTGTTTTCTTTTCAGGTGGTTATGGATCTGGTGGTGGAAGTGGTGGATATGGTAGCAGAAGGTTCTAAAAACTCAACAGAAGAGGGTAGGTATTCTTATATATTAATCATGATGATAAAGAATAAATGGAACTATTCACTGAGTGTAATAATTTTTTTATCCTATATTATTCAACAGGCTACAGTTCTTAGCAGGAGAGAGAGCGAGGAGTTGTCAGGAAAGCTGCAGGTTACTTTGAGACAGTCGTCCCAAATGCATTAGAGGAACTGTAAAAATCTGCCACAGAAGGAACGATGATCCATAGTCAGAAAAGTTACTGCAGCTTAAACAGGAAACCCTTCTTGTTCAGGACTGTCATAGCCACAGTTTGCAAAAAGTGCAGCTATTGATTAATGCAATGTAGTGTCAATTAGATGTACATTCCTGAGGTCTTTTATCTGTTGTAGCTTTGTCTTTTCTTTTTCTTTTCATTACATCAGGTATATTGCCCTGTAAATTGTGGTAGTGGTACCAGGAATAAAAAATTAAGGAATTTTTAACTTTTCAATATTTGTGTAGTTCAGTTTTTCTACATTTTAGTACAGAAACTTTAATGAAATGCGGTTTTGAAGGTGTTTCCTTGTTAGTTAACAAGTAGAGAAGATCATTGTTAATTACTATTTTGTATGAATTTTGCTAAAGTTAACTGTAAAGAAACACCTGCTGACTTGCAGTCTAAGGGGAATCTATTCTCCCCAAACCAAACCATAACACCCATTGATATGAATGGGAGTTGACAAGTGGAGAGAATAGGTATTTGTATGTTTGCAATGTGTGTTTTAGATAACAACTAGGATTGGGTATTTAAATTAGTATATTTGTGAATTAATAGCATTAAGCTTTACCTTTCAAATGAAAATTTCAAATTACCTTTTGGGTTGTGCATATATTTTTTTTTAATTGTAATTCTCTATGATTTAGTGTGTTAGCTCTGCCAAGTCCTAGTTGTGTTTATTAAAAAGGTGAAAAAAAAATCCATTCTAGAGTTACCTTGGCCACCTTTGAAACTGCTGCCATAACATGATGTTGGTATAGGAGATACCTCTTCTCTTCATGAAGTTCTGGATGGTGGAGGGGTGGGAGTTGGGGCAGTAGGTTTTTTTTTTCCTTTCCCTCCCTTTTGAAAAATTTTTCTTAATGAATTTAAAGACATAGCCAACCACTAAGTCTGCTGTATCCAAGCAAATAGTGGATACCTGGGGGTTTTTGTTTTTTATTTTGTGTTAATTGGTTTAGGGGGGAAAAGAGGCCCAAGGACCTTTGAATACTTAACCTTGGTTTAATGTCTTTTTAATTTATACAAGCTGTCAGAGCAAGAGAATAAAAAGCACGCATTGTGAAACACTTAAATGGCTGGCATGCTTTCCTGCTTACACCATATGCATTTTTCTGGATGAAACCAAGGATAGCCTAGGTATAATCCTCTAAAACTACCTTCTTGCAGCAGCAATGTAGCACAATTGTTTGGTACACAAGCTTTTCGCTTTTGAAGACCCTGAATTCAAGTTTGATTCTAAGTAAGAATTCATTTGCACTTCAGTGCCTAGACAACATATCATCATCACCATCATCATATATATCTACTTCAACACAATGTTGGTATGAGTTAATCAGTTTGCTTGAAAAACACTGATGTGAAGGAGTTCATGGTCTAGGTACTTTGCCAGCACCATGTGGGATAATATCCCCACATAAAGTCTACTGTTTTGCGCCAGATGATGCTTAATGTTTCTTTAAGTACTAAATATATATGTGTCCCACTGTTGTCCTTTTCTTTGGCCGTTAAACATTTTAATCCAGAAACCTCTATTCTCTGTTCGATTAAGCACTGGGCAAAACAAGCAATAAATGGCGGGTGGGATTGGATTTCAATGGATTTACTCATGTTGCTTTAACTTGTGCCATTGTTCAGTATTAATATGTGGATGCATGCTTTGCGAGCATGGAAATGGGTTGCAGATGTGGCAATTTTCCAGAAGTCAAAACTCACAAACCAATAAATGTCATGAGCAGACAACACTGACTGTTAATGAGCATATGTCAATAAAGCAGGGTAGAAAAAAAAATAGGTAAATATGCAAATGATTTAAGTCCTTGCCAGTTTTAAGTGCAAAGACTTACACAAGGACATATTCAATGTTGATAATTTAATTCTGGTTACTTGGTTCAAAATAAAAGCTTGCAAAATATTTTCCAACATTAGTGATAAAGATAGAAGGGGAAGGGAGAGGAATCTTAACATTTCTCTTTTCAAGTCTGAAATTTGTATCTTAAGTAATGGTGACAGTATTTCTTAATATAAGCCATGAGGCTAATTGTACTCTTATGTTAACTCTGGAATTAGTTTAATGATGAGATTGTCAACTATGATGAAAAAAATGTTTGCAACCTATAAGCAGGTGATTGTGACCTGTTTATAAGTTCTGTTAGCTTAGTTTTTGTGTACAGTGTGGAAAAAGTAAGCCATGAGGAAGGCGGTTTAACCAGCATTAAAGGACCTAAGATGTGCATTCTAGCACATTATGGATCAAAGGCAACTCAATAAGACAGGACTTCTGCAGCCTGTTGAGTGGACAAGTCAGCATATTAAAAGAATGACGAGGCAGCAGCAAGAGCTTCAACTTCAGAGAAGTGAAGGCATAAGATACTGTGCTGATAGTGAGCTGCTTTCCAAAGGCTAGTTAAAATCTGCAATATTCAGCTGAAATATCGAAGAAAGTCTAGCAAGAGTTCTTCGCCTTTTGGAACATCCTTGAGTGATAGCTACTTGAGTTGGCACAGTCGATAGGTCTAGCATTTAGACCTGCAAGGAAGGGCAATAAGCATTTAGGTAAGGTTTGCCTTTGAATTTTTCCACTAATTAAAGGGTAATTTTTTGTAAAGCAAGGTAAGAGTAATCTTTTTGATTTACAGGTTGAATGAAAACTACTTGCCTATATGAGGAATGCCTTCATATCATCTTAAATTCGAAGGTTTCTGGCTGGGTAAGACTTAAACAGTGTACAGAAAAATACCTGCATATGATGTCATTTAGTTGCCCTTTCTACATGTTACATAGCCCATGCACATTTTAAGTATTTCATCCCTAGCCCAGTTAATGGATGATTTTTCCCCCCGTATGTGCATCATCATTTTGAAACTAGCCATTTGCTTAATTCTGGGACCATTTTAACACAGAACCTACCAAGCCTTAGCTTTGGTTTTGTATTACAAGGCAGCCTTTTGAAGTAGCCTAACAGCCTCAATCATTTCTGACAAACTTGTACAAAAATTATTGACCAGGTTATTGAACAGGTGAGATAATTGTATTCTAATTTAGTGGAGACTAAACTCATTTACATAGAACTTGAAGGTGTACGAGACTTCTGCAGTCCTGTGGGAATCATCTCCATTTTACAAATGAGGAAACTGAAGCTAAGTTAGATGATTTGCTCATGGTTTCATGGATTTTAAGGTTTAAAGCTGGTATTTGAACATGTCAAACCATTGTCTGTTTGGGGGTTCTTGTACTAGCTTTGCTCTACATAATTAAAATGAAACGTTGCTGCCAGTCTAGCTTTTTTAGATTATAGAACTTTGCTTAAAGTTTTTGGGGCCTTTTAAGCCATTTCTTGTAGAAGTGTCTTTCGAGTACAGGCATATTTGTTATTACTTTCATGTACAGATATATTTGATATCAATGTTTGTATGTGGTAAATTGGTATGAATACTTATGGCAATATACCAATACTTGGAAACCACTTCTATAAAGAAATATTTTTTTATATAAGGATTTATATCATATAATGCAACCTAGCTCAAGAGAATATTATTTGAGGCATTAGAGTTTAATAAAACTTCACCTCTGGTTCTTTGTTTCATTACTCACCATCTCTAAAATTAGTCTTTGGAAACAGTTTAGCCTTTTTTTGTCATTAATCGCAAGTAATATTATATTTTCAGTACTTAAGTATGTAAGTATACACTGCTCTTTTTATACTCCTAACATTTGCTCTTACCGCTTCCCACAAAGGACTGTTAACTATTTTCCTTTCATGTGAGATAGATTAGTTCCCGGTATGGATGCATGTGTTTAAACCATTAAACACAGATCTTACATTTTTACAGTGTAAAGCATTTTTAATCACAAATCACATTAACATGAGAATACTTTAGATGATGAAATTACATTGGTATGAGTAAGTTTGATACATATTTTTAAACCATTCCTTTATAGACTTCTTAACAGCAAATGAAATTCAGTTCTCACCTCTCCTTCACCCCCTTTACTGGGCTATTTAAAACACACGTGTGTGTGTGTGTGTGTGTGTGTGTGTGTGTGTGTGTGTGTGTGGCAATTGGGGTTAAGTGACTTGCCCAAGGTCACACAGCTAGTATGTATGAAGTGTTTACTCTGAGGCCGGATTTGAACTCGGGTCCTCCTGACTTAAGGGCCAGTGCTCTATCCACTGTACCACCTAGCTGCCCCTAAAACACTTTTTGCTGAAGTCAGATACTCACTTTAGGAAAAATATTACATTGTTCTGTACTTTTCTACCTCTCTCCAAAAAGGGGTAACCTAACCCTAATCCTCCCTCCCTTTTGGGGGTAGAACAAAACATTTTTCCTAAAATGAAGATTTGTTATTTTTAGCAAAAGGTAACTCACTTTCCTAAAGGTAATTAGATTTTCATTGTTGAAATTTGATTTTAGAACTTTATGTATACATTGTATCTTAAAGTTCCTGAAAATAAAGGGCTATATCAAAGTTAGGAAATACACTGCATTCGTTTTAAAGGTCTGAGCTAATAAAATTTAGTGAATTACGGCTCATGTACAAATCAGCTGGTCATAAAAAAAAATATATTAAGCTCCAACAGGTGAGTAATTCTCTTCCAAAATAATGTACTATGTTTTATAATGCTCATGTTCAGTGAAAATAAAAACACTTTTATGGTCCATCATGTCAACAGCAATGCAGACTTAACAGGAGCAAAGCTCCTTAAGTGATCTTAAATGATTTATTCACTTGGTTTAGTGGTTTCATTTCATCAGGAATTTTGGTTTGCTGGGCAATGTGGTAAAGAATTCTAAATAACAGGATAGGTATTAAAGCAAAATTTTTGTTTTTGAAAACTGAAAAGCAGTTAACTAAAATATTCAGCTGTCAAACTTCCTGGGCCTTCGAGTATGATGAACACAAATTTAACATAAGCAAAATATCGTACACATTGAATAACTATTCAAAACTTGGGGATATGTTTGTTTCACTGGAAGGGGTGGGGCGTTGGAAGTTCTTAACTAGGGTGATTGGTGGGATCTGTAGTGCCTGCAGGGTAACAGTTGACCAAGCAGTCTTGATGTATTTCTGTGCAAATCTCTCTACCATCCTAAAAGAAAAAAAAGTATAACAAGTCCTTGTCTGGAAACAATTTCCTACTGATGAGTCCTAATTTGGCTATTTGACACCAAGTTAACAGAAAATAGCTTCAAACTATTGCAGAACTAAACATGAACCAATGGCGCAAACAGCTTTGTTTTCAAAGATGGCAATTAAGTGCTGCTCTTGCAGCAGGTGACACATTTCTGAAATGGCAGTTTCTGTCATGACATTAAAAGATGAACACTACACAAACTGCTTGCTGTTATATTTATTTGCTATTAGGGTAATTGCGTAAACTGGAAGATTTTCTACAAGTGCTTTCAAAAAACATTCTGAATGTTAAAAACTTAAGGGATTGCTTATAGTGCATTAAAATGCTTGTTAATGTATACAGAGCTACATTTTCATTAAAATCTTTTTGTAAAATGTGTGCAGTGTGTTCTGTGGTAACAATTCTACTTAAGGTTGTCAAGTGTATTAGATACCTCTTCAGAGCAATAACAATGGTTGGGTATATATGGTCATAATTCAGTGGATATTAAATACAGGCAAAGTAGGAAATAAGATGCTGATAAAAGGAGGGGGAGAAATCTTGTTGAACTCTCCAAAGACAATTGGGGAAATCATAATTGATGAGAATTATTCTGTGACACGAAGATGTAAATTGGCCTTAGCTGTGATAGAAATAGGGTCAAATGAGCAAATTAGTCACCTGGAATTTGGGTGCCATTGAAAAGACTGTTAGAAGGGGAGGGGAAAATCTGGTATGGGTACAAAAGCATTTTGGAGAGCTTTGCTCGTCTGAGTAGCAAGTTTAACATGCAGAATATATTTCTGATAACTTAATATACTTGCTAAAATGTGGGGGGAAAAGTGCTATTAAGCTTGGCTTCCTGGTTGGGAGGGTCAGGTGTATCTTTAGGATTGTAGGCTAGAGTTCAGATTGTTTTGTGTAACAGTGAGATTGACAGATTAGGCAAGTAAAAACAGGAGGATGGTACAGTAGAAAGCTTTTGAGTTGGAGGTAGTGCTTCAACTTTAAGCTGCTATTTAAACTAGCTGAATGATCTTGGGCAAGTGATTTTATTCATCTGTAAAACAGGGTTTGGATTAGGTGACCTAAACATTGTGTGGTCTATGGGTTTTTAGATCCTGGCAGATGTTGGGTTATGCGAGTTCTACCCGCACGAATTTGGACAGTTATGATTGGTATTTGGAATGTGCTGGTAATTAGAGGTGTTCATACAATTAAAGAATTCAGTCCATCTTAATTATTGGCTACAAGAGGGTATGTAAGGAAATAAAATGAATTGATTCATATAAGAATGTCAATTTCTAGCTATATTAAAGTCCTAGTCTAGATGTTTGAATTAGTCTTCATTTTGTTTCAAAGACCCACTAAAATAAGCCACTAGAGTAGTGGTGCTCGCGGTAGACCACATAACGACTTAGAAAAACACATTAAATTGTTTTCTTTTTTTCCAATTTAAGCATTTCACAGTTATATATTAATCTAGTTCAGGTACACACATGTAAGGGCAGAATGACACCTGCACTAAAGAATTCAAGGTAACACATTTGGCAGAAATCCGATCCTGGTATTTTGATGAATAGTATTTCCTCATACCAAATTCATCCTTTTGTTTTTAGGCTAC